TAGTTTTAGTCTTAAATTAATTATGAATTAATTTAGAGATTAAAAGGAATACTAATTAAATTATGGGCTATTTGTTTTATATAGTGTGGGCTAATACTCATTTGTTAATGGGCTAGGCTTACGTGGAAGTCCATGGATGATCCATGGAGCTTTTAACGGCATGGATCCTTGGAAAAGAAAAAAGACATGGGTTATTAGGGTTTCACCCTAACCATGCACACTGTATAAGCATGCTTATGGAGCATGAAATGGAGCCTAAGAGAAAACTAGTGAACTAGTGTGTGTGTGTGCATGTGTGTGGCCGATTTTATACAAGGTGTATACTCTCTCAAAGTTTTCCAAGAGTTTGTGGTGTTTGTGATTCCATTTGAGGCATTCACACTATTGGTGCTTGGCCCTCAAACTCCTTAGAACCAAACTCACCAAAAGGTATGTAATCTCTTCTAACTCTTTTATGTTGAAATGTTCCCCATGCCATGTTAGATAGGTTATAAACCTTGGAAAATTATTATTTTGCATGTATTTAGACAAACATAGATCCAAGGTTTATTAGGGTTGCATGCACACTTAGGAAGTGTTAGATTGCTCAAAACTCAACACAATCTTGGTTTTCAGACCAACCCGACTAACCTCTTCCCCAGCTAAAAACATTGCATGGCGAAACCGATGAGCACTACCAGTAAATTTAGGATGCTCAATTTATTTTTCCTTAATATGCACAACACCAACATGAAGCAGCCAATACAGATCTCTACGCACCACATCCAATTCAGCCCTAACATCCTCAATGGGCCTGTCTCGGTCAACAACATGATGCTACATGCTCTCATTCTTTAGGCCCTAATTGGACTAGTGAGAGCATCCACCTTGCCTTCCAATATCGATAAACTTCATCCAAGGCCTTATTTTTTTTTTTTGCTGTTAATAGATCATACTTTTGTTTAAATCCACGAGCATCATGTTCAAGTTCTATAACCTGATGCCTAAGCTCAACTTCACTCGCTAATAAGACAAGATGACCCTCCTCCATCTGATTTATACGTTGAATGTGATGGGAAATAGCAACTAAGTAAAACATCACTTGCGCTGCATCATATGACATGTTATTAGGAAGAGGAAAGATGCCCATAACGTCCATATTGACAAGTGTAGCTGGCGGAAAGGCATGATGCAAAAATGCAAGGGCATTCCTACGAACAGACAAATAAGATTCAATATTAAGATTTCAACGAGAAACGATGGGAGCCACACCAGGCTTGTAAGGCCATGCAAACCACCCCCAGTAGGAGTTTCGCGATGCGGACCCCCAAAGTCACCCTATAAAAAAATTGACTCATCAATCGTTTCAAGAGCAACATTTTCAACACTTGGCTCAGGAACAACCTTCGTCGGAAGTACGGGTTGCTTAGACGCCCCCTGATCCCCCTCAAAGTGTTGTGCATCGTCATCAATAGGGATGAGAGTGGGTCCAAACCCGAACCAGTAGACCTGGGCCCAGAAAACCTGGGAACTGGTTAACGAGATTTTGTATGACCGAAAACCAGATCAGTATATAAGAACCGGTTCCGGGTAACGTACCTGGTAAAGTGGTTCTAGAACCAGAAAACCCAGAAACATTAAAGTGGGTTGGGTGGAACTGGGTTGAGTGGGTCTAGAACTAGAAAACCCGAGAATCTAGAATTTTTTGGTAATTACTTAGTGGTTGAACTTCGAAAAACTTTGATATCCCAACTTTAGGGGGCTGTAAGCCATTAAATATTAAACCAAAAATGACAAAATTATCGTTTAAATCATGTACAAACTCTAAAATACACGTTTGAAAAAAACCTTATGATAATCTGACATTAAACAAATTAGATATGCATTTTTAAAATTTCACAAAGTATAACAATAAAATTGAAAAACAAAAATGTAACAACGTGAATTTTCAAAACAAAATTTTCAATTCTAAAAACATGTTTCCAACCAAAACAAGCCATAAAATCCAATGCATCATAATCATAATACAAAACATGTCATATCCCAAGATCATAAAATAAATCTTCCGTCAGTATGTATAGATCACGCTGGCGCCTTCCCACGGTCGTCGTTAGTACCTGAAACACATAACACAACAACTGTAAGCATAAATGCTTAGTGAGTTCCCTAAAATACTACTTACACACATACGCCTTTCCAGGCCATGACCTTCCGGTCCATGTGTCTCAGGGGACTTCAGTCCCGACCCGGTAAACCTTCCGGTCCTACCCGCATCGACCTTCCGGCCCACATCACAAGGCCTTCCGGCCCATAACATAATGCCTTCCAGCCCATAACATAATGCCTTCCGGCCCATATCAAGCATAGCATACACAACACATGCAAACGGTTAACTTAGTTACATATAATGCATACAACTTATAATATATCCGACCTTCCGGTCACACATAGATACCCTTCCGGGTAAAGTATAGTGAGAAGACTCACCTCGTAGGAAGTCTAGAATCTCACGTGCTCGATATCTCCGAATCTCAAAACGACAAACCAACCCTGCCTAATCACAACGAAATATCATTCTAATTAATATAGGCTTCCAAGACTAAGCTACACCCTTTTCATTATCTCACAGAGGAGTAAAAGACCATTTCACCCCTCCTTGACTCAAAGTCAACATGTTGACCAAAACCCTAAAAGTCAACGAAAGTCAACAGCCAACAGTACGTGGGGCGTACGTCGATGAATTACAATCAGGGGTATCAACCCCTTACGCTGCGCGTAATGAGAGTTACGCCCAGCGTAAGTGTCAGTTTCAGCCATTCACAGGATTTTGGTCTTAAACGGTTAAGACACTCCTTTAACTTCTAGATCTGGCTCTCCTTAAGCCTGTTATCCCATAAAGTCAGAACCTTTAAGCCTTGGCATGGTTGTAAAGGTTCCTTTACCCTCTAACACCTTTCCTTTCTCCTCCAAAGATCTAGATCTCATGCATGGCTCAATATTTACGTCCAAGATTACATTTTTATGAACATACAACTCAAATAGTCTTGGAATATGATAGATCTAGGCCAATGGAGGCTATTTGCTCATAAAGTCTCCATCTTGGGACCAAAAACCCTAGAAATTGGTCAAAGAAGCATACCATAAGAACTACAAGGCAAGATCTAAACTTTTTACCTCAGGAAGAAGCTCTAACCTTTGTTGTCCTCGGATCTACACTTGTCCACCAACTTCTAGCCTCCACAATGGACTCCTCTTCTCTTTGGCTACCTTGAAATGACACTTTGAAGTTTAGAACACTCACACCCAAGCTAAAAACAAAGGAAATGCTCTCTTAGGGTTTCTTTCTGAAGGATGGTGGCTGAGGGACAAGGCCACCTCATTCCTTTTATAGCCCTCAAGCCATATTAGGGTTTTGGGTGTGGACCGGTTACGCCCGACGTAACCTTAGGTACGCCCAGCGTACCAGGGTGACAACTCGTTCAATTAAGCGCGCGAGTATGCGCAGCGTACTCGCCCAACACAAAGAGCCAAAATGACAATTATGAAAAGATGAAGGCTAAATGGTTGTACCTGAATTTCGGGCTGTTACAAAAAAATTCACAACATTGATATCCTAACTTGTGGAGGATTGTAAGTCAATGAATATGAAACCAAAAATTAAAAATTATAGTTTAAAATCATATATAAACTCTAAACTACACGTTGCAAAAAACCTCATGATAATCCGACTTCAAACGAATTGGATATGCATTTTTAAAATTTCACAAAACAAAAAGTAAAGCTGAAAAACAGAAATTTCACAGCACTGATATCCCGACTTTGGGGGACTGTAAGTCAATGAATATGAGACCGAAAATGACAAAAATTATAGTAAAAATCATTTAAAAAATATAAACTACACGTTGCAAAAAAACCCCATGTTAATCCGACTTCAAACGAATTAGATATGCATTTTTAAAATTTCACAAAATATAAAAATAAAACTGAAAAACAGAAAATTCACAACTTTGATATCCCAAATTTGGGGGACTACAAGTCAATGAATATTAACTCAAAAATGACTAAATTATAGTCTAAAATCATGTGCAAACTATAAACTACACTCTGGAAAAAAACCCCATGCCAATCCGACTTCAAACGAATGAGATATTTATGTTTTAATCTTTTCATAAAAATCGGTTCCAGCCCCTAAAACCGGTTCCGGTTCCTAACACAATTTTGATACTTAAACCCAATTTAGACGGACCCGAAGGACCCACAACTCAGATTACTTGGAACTCAGATAATTCCATTCTTTAAACCCAGGACCTAGACTGGTTCTACATATTCTGGTTCTAACGGTTCCGGTTCCGGTTCTAAATCTCATCCCTAGTCATTAGGGATCACCATAATTCCCTCTAGATCGGAGGAAATTAAACTCAATAGGTGGGAAAACCATGCCGTTGCTACACACGCCTTCTGATTGGCTACCACTAGTGTCAGAAGGAGACTCCTCCATGGCCAAGATAACTTTGCTCTTCTCAATAGCACGTTGAACGTTGGAGATGATACCGTCCTTGCTATTTTCCACCACTTTAGTCAAAGGGGATTTAGCAGGGATAGGACCAAACATCACAAATATCGGTTGAGCATCCACAGGACGTTCACCACCACTCGCAGATGAGCCCTCTACAAGCTATACCACTAGAGGGAAAGTGACAACCAAATGACCAACCATGCAAGGTGCAAGGAGAGTCTCATGAATGTCAACTTCTCGGCATTCAAGCTTCCCCCGATACCATTTCGTGAGAACAAATTCCAAAGACAAGGGAGCCTCTACGCCTGTGAAAACAAGAGAATTCTTTTTTAAGACCCACCACCATATGAAATAAAAAAAAGGGAAGGGGAAGTAGGACAAGCAATAGTACCGTCAGTAACGGTGAAGAAGACATGCATCTTTCCCTGTGCACATCAACTTGGGCTCATACCACCACCGGTAAGAACATACTACGGAAACTCATCAGACATAATCTGGAGAGACTTTAAGAGGTCGGCAGCAACTCAGTTGTGTGAGAACAGCTTGGGAGTGATATCCAAGAAGTTGACCGCTCGACATTACTCACAACCAACTCGCTCCTAATGAACCCATAGCCATTTGTCCTGCTAATTCTTTGGCGTTTTACCATATGGGACAAGAACATGACCACCACGATGGGCACATAACGTGTGCTTATCTCCGGTGGCGCTAAAGTGGAAGAAAACAAAAAGACGAAATAGTCAGGAAGGATATCATTAGCACGATAGATCATCTCAAACGCCACCATATTGTTTAAAGAGTTTGGAGTGAGAATCTGGATACTACAACCATGCTTCTGCAGAAGTTCATCCTTGAAGTCAGTAAGTGGAAGGCGGAGTCCAACAGTGAAGGTTTTCCGGTAAACACAAACCTTCCTGGGAAGGGGAAACAAGATCATCGTGTCAAAAGCTAGGAACTCCACCCCATTAATTAATGAAAAGACATAGGATTTTTGAGGAGTTTCGAACTTAGCTATAGTGGGAACAATGCCGGAGCGATTAGCCATGAGAACAAGAAAAGTTACAGAGAGAAAACCAGAAGGGTTTTGAAAACATGTGGGAGATAAAATAAAAGAGGAAAAGTTTTATAGCAAAAGAAAAGGGGTGGGATATTCAAAATCCTTGACACGAATGACATAACTGGCAGGCATAGTAGAAAATGATGTCGCCGTAAAAAATGAAATGTCTAGCATACCCTAGAGCGACACGTGTATGAGCAGTAATGATTGCATGAAAACCCAAATGTTTAGTTGAGCCAATATACGTTATAGTGCATTTGTGGCTTCCCTTATTTGAGTGAAATCATGGAACAAAAACATAACCCCGCTCGGTTTGAAGGATGCAATATGTTTAGCAGCCTAAACCTGAAATGTATCTAGGAAAATTATTATCATTAACCAATAAAGGTTGAGGTTGAGCGCCTCTGCTTAAGCATGTAGGTTTTGAGTGAAAAAAGAGAGGTACATGTAAAAAAAAAGAAGAGAGAATTACGAAAAAGTTTGAAGAATTTTGGAGCAAATAAAGTGAAGATCAAAAGATCAAAATTCCAAGAAATTCAAAAAGTTGAAGATACCAAGAAATCAAATCAAATAAGGTGGTGAATTCAAAGAAATCAAAGATCAAATTGTTAAGAAAGTGAAGAATTCCTAAAAAGCTCCATAGTGGTATCATAAATTGTAATTCTAGATTATGTATGCTTAGGTTGCTCAACTAAAAATACCTTGAGGTTAGGAGGTTTTCTGCGGATGGATTCGGAGGGTTGCATAAAATGAGCATTGTTCGGAAAAAGTGGGCAAGTGTTTATGAAGATTGTGAGTATTTAAAGTATGGGGGGTATTTTAGGAAAATTTTAGACACAAATGCATGCGTTGAGGTCTTGGCATAATGGCTGAGTTTTAAATGGATTGTTTAGTGCAATATTGGTAAAATAAAAGTAAATTTGCTTGGGGGCAAGCAAAGGCTAAGTGTGGGGTATTTTGATATGAAGTTTTCTTGTTGCACAAGTCGAAGTGGAATATCATAGATTATTCAAATTGGTGGAATGATATGGGGTATTTATAGTTGATGGAGATGGAATTTATATGGAATATTAGAGTTGGATTGGAATAAGGAAACTAATGGTGGCTCAGGGATTAAGCAAATAAAAATAAGATAAGTGGAGCTTGGGGAATAAGTAACTTGGAGGGAATTTCCGTCCAGCTTTTATGCTTCATCTTCAAGGCCGATTTTGGATAAGATAAGTGTCGAATTAGCCAAAAGTCCCTCTCACATAAGTCGTAGGAAATTTCGTCTAGTTTTCAGAATAGATTGAACCTCGTCAATTGGACTTATGAGTCATTAGATATACCCGAAACACTAAAGAGGGGTCAATCTGCCAGCAATATCCTTTTTGCATCTTTTCAGCTCCATTCTCTTTCTTTTGCATTCCATCTCCCACTTCAACTGTAATTAAATATTTCAAAGCATATTAAGTTTATTTTAGTTCTAAATAATAATAATAAATGCTAAAATATTAAAATATGTTATACATAAATATATATAAAAATACACATATCAAGCAGTTAAGTCCAGAACATCATAGCTAGCCTACTGCAAACACCATGACTACTTTACTAGATTTGATAGCATGCCCCCTGGCATGAGCCACAAGTCACAACAGAGACACCACCAGGTAGGCTTCACGGTCGGGACCTTCCCAGCTGGCCGCCAACAAAGTATTGTGCATACGCAAGAATTGAGTCCTTAATACTCTTTGCTCCACGACAAATATGATAGCTTCAGGCGACAATGAGTAATCTTAGAGCATTACGACCTGAATCAATCGTTAGCTTTGATAGAACGAGGAGCACTATTAGCCAATCAGTGCGTATGATCATATTGGGTCTGATGCCCTTATCCCATGTATGGACTAGCAGGAGACCTTAGTATAAAAGGTCTCATCCACAACCTTGGAAAGTAAGCTATCTCTCTCAGACTCATACACACACATACACACACACACTCTCAGATAATACACTAACTTGCTGATTGGAGCATTTTCTTAGGATCACCTCCTGGAGAACGGTTGTTGGCCTTGTTTCCTATTGTGATCTTGCTGACTACATGGGACTAGAAAACATCTACCTTTTGGATTCTTAGATTGAGGTCGCATCGCATACTTTATGGGATATTTTATCTCAGGGTTATTGTTTAATGTATATTGCCACGTTCCCCTGTTTGCATTTCTTAGCAGATAAGAAATGATTCAAATTATTGTTTTTTGGTTATCCGGGTCGGTATTTATGGTGTTGCCGACCCGGGTACACCATTAAGTCCCCCAATGTAAATGGTAAAAATGGCACATATTTTTTCTGCTAGTTACAAATGCATTAAATGTTGCTAGCCTTTGGTTAGCCACGTCGCCTTTTTGATTAGATTTCTTAATTAATGCTTAGTTGGTCCTTCTTTTTACATATCAAATATTGATGGTATAGAACATTCATCACCTTGTACTTCTTGTACTTTTTAAAGTTATTTTTCCACCATGGCTAATATATATCATCAGTTCATTTTGACATGGACAAGTTCATCATGGACATATATGTTTCTAACTATCATCTGTCTGACTTATATGGTTTTCTGTTCCCCTTCTTCCACTTTGCTCCTTAAGCCTCCGGTGGATAAAGTAGGATTTTACTTGAGGCATCTTGATTATATATTAAGGATTCCTCTAAGTGCTTGTTTTCTTGAAATTCTTTGTTCTTACAGTCTTCATTTGATATAGTTATTCCCTAACATTGTATCAAAAGACATTGCTTTTAAAGAATTTTGTGCCAATCTTCAGATTCCTTTAGATGTATATCTTTTTCAATATTTTCTCCATTTAAAAAAAATATGGCGACCAATACTCTTTTAGTAGTTGTTAATTTCCAATATTTGTAGATCTTCTCGGTGCTAATGGTGGGTGGAAAATGGGATTTTGTTGGGTGGATTCGTCTAGCGTCTGTCTTCCCTCATTCTTGGGCTTTATCAAACATCAATGATGGTCCTTCATTAGCTCATGGTATATAAGTTTCTACTCAATTTTAGCCATTAATGTGTCGAGAAATGCCACTTTCCTAAGGTCTTACTTGCCATTTGTAGCATGAGTTTAATCTGGAAATCCCATGATGAAACAGTTAGTTCTGCAGGTGGGCGGCCTCAAATGTGGTCCTCTTTCTAGATTTGGTGTTTTCACTTGTAAACTATTTTATAAAAACTAAATACCCCACTTTTAATTTTATTTCCTTTATCTTTGTAGAGAGGAATAAATGAGCTTTTGATGTTGCTGCTTATGTATTTGGTGAGGTCAGGCCTCGGGATATTGTTGTGGAAAGAATCATACGATACTATATATAAAGAATTTTTCCTTTCACCAGATTCATTTGAAAATCTCATGAATTTTCAATTTCTTTATGATAATGGTATTAATTGGTTAATTAATCTTAAACAAATAAAAAAGATACTTAAACATAAAGTCATAACATTTAAAAGTAGTTAACAATTAATTTATTACAATACTAAGGCCCGTACTAAGCACGAGCCACAATCAATTATCATGCATGGTGCAATAATGTTATTATGGAGAATATATAGCAAACAATGTATCCTTATCATTACATAAAATGTTGATCTCAGCTTCAGTTTGGAAATAATAATGCTATAAGTGGGTGGATTTTACATAGTATAATGACTTAATAGAAGAAAATGAAGTTGTATGCTATAACAGGAAAACAGTGAGAGTAGAATGTTATAAAATTATAACACACAAACAATTGAAAGTAAATTGATACTTCTTGTGTGAATTAGAACCTTTTTATGCTTAATCAAATTTATTGCAATGTGTCCAAATATCAATGAAACCCACCATACAATAACCTTATTAGAATGCAAGTATTTCACAGTTTCCCATGCAAAAATTATTATAAAGCTCCCTGATATGGATACATCTGGTGCTACATAACAAAGGGCTTGTTAAAAAGCATTCTAATAATGATACATCTTGAACTGAATAACAAAGAGCTAACCTACCTGATTACAAAGTTTTTGATTTTAAAATTGCAACTGCAGATTACGTATATCTATTATCAGTAAGTAATAATTATATGTATGTTGCTATTATATGTAAAACATATACTACTCGCAAGAGTAAAGTATGTTGCCATTATTGTGTAACTTGCCCTTTAGAAACCATTAAGGGAGCTCAAACTGTGGAACATTACAATAAATGTAAGACTTGAACTATCTTTGAAATCAAAGTTTGTAATATCATAGAGCACTGATTAGAAACTTTTAAAACATATTGTTATTAAAGATAAAAACTAAAATATATGGCCTTTATTGCTAAAAATAATAAAAGGACATTTCTATCTAAAGTAAAAACTCACCACATGTAAAAAAACTCTGATATCCGATCAGCTAACTTCTATATAAGAGCTCTTGCAATCATTAAGCATTACCTCGTTTTTTACTTCTATATTTTTCCCAAAATATGCCTTTTGTTACTCTTATCAGGTGTATTAGCAACGTGACCCTCCATGGGTTGGACCCCAAAAAAAATTATGGGAGAAAAATAATTTTGAAGAGTTAAGATATATTCTTTTGAAGGGCATCAAAATATATTATTTTTGAACAAAGACATAATTTTTTTTTCATGGGGGCAAGTGCTACCACTGGCTCTAGTGTAGGTCCACCCCTTATTGCCACTTGTGTAGTCAATATCTGCAATCAAAATTACCTGGTAAATAGTTAAAAACTTATTATAACACCTTAAAATCACTTTACAATCTACGAAAACCAATTACCAAGTAAAAGGAACATCATATATTCTATACCACCATTGCATCAACTATCAACTAAAGTAACAACATGATCACTCACTCTATATATAAAAATATACTTTTAAAACATGATACATAATTTGTGGTGTTAATCATGAATCTAATCCCTTAACCCCAATCTATGTCCCGTGTCTGATTCCTTTGTTCCC